GGGGGGGGGGGGGGGGTGCTTCTCTTATACTGTCTGTACTACTAACAAATACAAACCACGAATCTGTTTTATTACAGGAGACTATAGAACTGTTTAATAATGTTACAAGAAATGCTACCAGATATCTGGAGAAGAACATTGATTCTACCACTGATGTTTATGAACTGGCTATAGCGTCTTATGTTTTAACTCGAACTGGCAGTCCTAAAGCTGGTCCAGCCTTTACTAGACTTGAAGCCATGTTGGTGTCTAGAGGTAGGTAAACCATGGCCAAAGTTCTATTTCCTTCGTCTCTCGTAAGCAGGTTTAGATATTCATTGATAATCGTATCGACGGAGGATAGGATCTCAGGTATTGTCATTGTCAGCACTGAAGAATATTCTCCTGTTGAGTTCTCGCTCCAGAAAGTACACACAACTGAGAATTGTTTTTTTTTTATTATTAAAAATACTAATTGATTAATGCATCAGGTATTTTATGTGATGATCCATGTTCGCCATTAGGTGATTAATCTTCCTAAATCTTAAATTTTGTTTTACTTATCAGGTGACACCAAACATCTAAAAGTTAAAAAAGAAACCAAAAATCAACCTAAAGTCACTAACAATGACGTCATCACATCCCATGACATCATAGCCACGTCATATCTATTAATGACGTATCTAGAAAGTGGCGATATTCAGACCAGTTTCTCTGTAATGAAGTTTTTACTGAGCCAAAGAAATAAAAATGGTGGATTTAAATCTTCTCAAGTAATTTTACTTTTATTTATAAAACGTTCAGCCTATTTTTTTTATATAGATTCTTTACGTTCGCAGGAATCTTAGAATATAATATACAAGTGCTTTATAATTCGGACATGATATCATCATACCCGTAAACGAACAGTGATGATAGACATTCAAAATTGGGTCTTCTGCCTTCACACACACACACTACTTATACCGTATAATGGGGAATATAATGCGCACCCTTTCTCTATCATAGTAAATCTGCAATCTCTGTCACTGCACATAATGCAACCTCGGGTGAAGATATTAACAAATTGGCATAACACAGACATAAAATTGTGTGGTTATATCGCGTAGTGTCCTTAGATATCACCTCTGATACAGTGGTAGCTTTAGTAGTATTATCGTGTATATGAAGTAATTGTAGCGTTACTTAGTGTACAATTTGTATATATATATTTTCAGAATACAGTGGTAGCTATAGATAATAATATTGAATAGTATTATCGTGTATATGAAGTAATTGTAGCGTTACTTAGTGTACAATTTGTATATATATATTTCCAGGATACAGTAGTAGCTATAGATAATAATATTGAATAGTATTATCGTGTATATGAAGTAATTGTAGCGTTACTTAGTGTACAATTTGTATATATATATTTTCAGAATATAGTGGTAGCTATAGATAATAATATTGAATAGTATTATCGTGTATATGAAGTAATTGTAGCGTTACTAAGTGTACAATTAGAATATCTATTTCCAGGATACAGTGGTAGCTATAGATAATAATATTGAATGGTATTATCGTGTATATGAAGTAATTGTAGCGTTACTTAGTGTACAATTTGTATATATATATTTTCAGAATACAGTGGTAGCTATAGATAATAATATTGAATAGTATTATCGTGTATATGAAGTAATTGTAGCGTTACTTAGTGTACAATTTGTATATATATATTTTCAGGATACAGTGGTAGCTTTAGAAGCTTTGAGTAAATTTGCCGCTGCTACCAGACCAGCTGATTTTAACATGGGGATTGATATTAGAACAGATACTGGTGAAGTCTTACAGTTTAAGGTCCATTCTCAAAACGCCTTGGTTTTACAACAAAAACCGGTAGGCATAATGAAACCTAGGCCTACATCTAAAAATTACCCCCTTGATAATTGGTCGAAACCATCAACATCCTCATTACCCATAATTATTTCATTTTTTCAATATATTTTTATCGCCAGGTACTGCTTCTACAAGCTTTGTTCCCCCACCACCAACCCCTAACGCAAAAAAAAATGTACCAGAACGGTGACTGACACAATAAACTGAAGTTACAGTCGACAGGAGCATCTTTCAATAAAATTGTCAATTGTTGAATGAGATAACTGATCAGAAATTTCTCCAAGATGTCTACTGACATGGATATCTTTAATTTTCTTTAAAAAAAAGTTCTACTGAAACAGTGAAGACATTATTTATAATCATGATATCTGTATTTATTTGTAATACATTGTATTTCCAGTTAAAGGGGGACGTGAAAAACATAAAAATAACAGGCCGTGGAAATGGTGTGGGATATTTAGATGTAAGTACAATGATTAGATATATGAATTTAAATTTACTGAAATTTCAGAAAAACTGCAAAGTTGTGTACATCAAATTAACCGTGAAGTATCTAAAAGATATTTAGAATTGTATGAAATCAACATTGCGACTAGCTGAAAATGTTTACATATTATTTAAAAACATACGGTCACCTCACGAAAAAATTAAATCTAATGCATATTTTTACTCAAATAATTGTATTATTTGCCCTTTTGGTCACTTTCTGTAGAAACAAACTGCAACTTGATTTTTGGTTGTAACTGATGGCAACTCGGACATTTGTCAACCGGACGACTGTCATGAAAACCTTAGCCTCTAGATGCCTATAATTGGAAAAAAAGCAAAAATTGGATTTGTCTGGGATAACAGAACTATTTTTCAATATTGTATTCAGTTTGTTATAGTATGTTTACCAATATTTTGTGGTTTTACATCCTACTGTATTTGATTAACGATTGCTGTTTTATTTTGCAAGTCATTCGATTTTGACTCTTGATTAACAAGTTGGACTGTGTATTGGTTTAACTATTTATGATTTTATATTTCTCTAGATCAGTACAGTATATCACGTGACTGGTGATTCTACTAATACAGATTTTGATATCAGTACAGTTCTATTAGATGATAATATTAATGGTTTTACTCTTATGACGTGTTGCAAGTAAGATATAATTTTTGAGGTGTAGGGAGAAAAAATGAAATGAATGGAGTTTTATGCCTACTTTCTGCACAATGCAAGGTGCAATGAGGGAAAATTGCCAGGACAGCGACATTAGCCTTCTCTTTTTCCATTTCCAAATGTCGAGGGATCTTTAACGTGCATCTTTTCCAATAACTTGCCCGTGTCTCCCCAGACCTCAATCAAAAGTCGATGTCCAGATCCATGGATCTTATTTTATATTCCATATTTCCTATTTTGTATTTGAGACTTTAAATAGCACTTAGATATAATTTTTTTATTTCTCGAAGGGTCCTGAATGACGAACCAACTGGTATGGCAACAGCTAAAGTACAAATTCCAGCAGGATTCGAACCCGATATATCGAACATCAATGTTGTCGGTGTTAGGAAAGTTGAAAAGTCTGGAAATGACGTCAACATTTATTATGATCAGGTAACATAGCTACGGTTCGGTCACTCAGTGGTTTGTGGCAGCAACATTTCATTCATTAAAGGGGCTCGAAAAAGGATTTTGGCCATATTAAATTGATCACTGTACAATTCTTATTCCCCACCTAATTGCCAAAAATAAGATGGGAAAAGAAGGCGGGTTTATCAACTCAGCATAACATTCAGACAGCGTAGCTAATAATGTTTATTTGGTATTTTATTATGATTTCAGATTGGTGAAACATCAACGTGTGTCAGTTTACAGGCTTCTAGATCCAGTATGGTGTCCAGTTCTCAGAAATGTTTTGTAGAAGTTACTGATTATTATCAACCTAGTAGGTTCCAAATTCCAAATTCCTATTGTGAAAATGTTTATTCTTAGAAGCTTGAGACAATAAACCGACACTCCTTGTGACTGTGTGCGTTAAACTGTTAAAGATCCCTTGATAATTGGAAATCGAAAAAGGAGGGGACAAAAGATGCTTTAATATTCCATTCCATTTTCTACTATTTCCATTTCTTGTGCGGAGTTTTCTAGGCAAATTATCAATGGTACAATGGTGTCGTATCACTGAAAACACAAAACTCCAATTCTGTTCCATTCCATTTTTCATTTCTTCGCTTTATTTTCTAGGTAAATCTTCGACAGTATCGTATCATCCTCGTAAGTTAAAGAATTCTAAAGTATGTGATGTCTGTCCTGATTGTAATATGAACTGTATGTAGACAAGGTAAGTAGATTTCAATCTTGGCTAACGATGATGAATTTTGATTAATGAAGGGTGTATGTCGAAATTTCACGGTCCGCTCATTAGATATGTAACTTAGCCGTGAACGAATTGGATACAATTTTTTGGTATAAGATGTTGTAAGAGATACTCTTCTATAGAAGCACTGGCCTAGGTCACAAGTAGAAACTATAGATTTGGGCATCAAAATACACCAATTTGATAAGAAATAACTTACTTCTGGAGATATTTACATGATAAACAATAAATACGATTGTTATTGTAGTTAATGAGAGGGGATCTAATCTGCCAGTTTGACGAAGAGGTCTAATTCGATTGAATCCTTCACGAATATATTCTGACTGTCTCAAAAGTACAGAATACAGATGCATTACGAGTCTAGCTGTTTTTATTCTGAAATTAATTACTGTCGTGATTATGATTTAATGAAATTCTAATGATTTGTTTTTGTAGGGTACGAGTTGTAGAAGCCTCGATATCGTAATTAATTCTGGTATTGGAAACATATCTATTCAAATTCTCAAACTATAGTGGAAATTGAGGTAATGGGGGGGGGGGATAATATTTTTTGACCATCTTCAAAAACATAACAAAAACTTTAAGTCTGGATTAAAACAGACGCTGCGAACCGTTGTATCAGGTTGTGTTGAAGAAATTCAGGATTTTAAAGATGTTGTATAGAAAATTGAATATAATATAATAAAATGTATTTAAGCTAAAATAAAGTAGATAATATGTTGCTATATTTTTTATTTCACCCAGTGGCGGCTGCAGAACTTTAGATTGGGAAGGCCATCGCCAATTTCTCTCAACGTATAATATTCTACAAGAAAAAAAAATTGTAATTTGGGGCCTTTGGGTTGTAGAATTTAAGACGCAGAGAACTCATTTCTGACAATATTGATGTGCCAAAAACGTATCAAAATCTATATCTTTTTGATTTGTACAAAGACACTGTAAATGAATCAATCTCTGATGATCTGAAGAAAGTTTTACCGGGGCTTAATTCTCACTTGTTGGGACCCAGCCCCCACGGACTCCACCCTGACGACATAGCTGTCCTGATGAAGTCAAAACATTTTGACGAAACGTTGGTTTTTTGATGTCAAGTTTTAATATTTATTACAAAAAATAAGTTTGATCTCAGTAGAACCCCCGCTTCCCTTAAACCTACTGGGTGTAACAGTGGCGTTTCTAGGAAACATTAGTTGAGGGTGGCGAGCATGGGGCCGGAAAATTTTCCAGGGGGTGGGGGAACAGGCTATTCTTTCACTATGTAAATTGTTACAAAAATTGAAAGTGTGTGTGTTTGGGGGCTAAGAGCAAAGAATATATTCAAACTGCTAGCAAAACTATGTAACTTGTTGCCTAAGGTAAGCTGATTGAAAATAATTTATAATTCAACGGTGGGTGTATTGTAAATTAGTTACTAATTGATTGATTGAATATTAAAAGACCTAAAACATGAATGATATTTTCATCAGATCATTAATGCCACGTGAAGTCACCAGTAAAACATGAAAGATAACACAAAGAGTGGTCGAAAATGGGTGTTACTAGTCACTTTTCAACACAGGGCACTGGCAGAAGGTTGAATTGATATAATAGGCTACAAAACCATTACCTGCAACTGGGTATTAATGTAGATTGTGATTGAGTGAAATCGACCATAGCACAATTTATTTGTGGTCTGTTGTTTCGTACAAAATGAGGTTATCGCCCTTTATCAATGACGTCATAAAATTATGGGATGGAATTTATTGTGGTGCTGAAAATATATTTTTCTGGAGAAAAGAATTTGCAGTTTGACTTCGTGTGAGTTTATAATTATAAGTTGTCCATTTACTTCGTTCTACAAATTTTGAAGAGCTTATTTTAGAAAAATTTTCAACCGCTACATCAAAGCAGAACTAGAATTTCTCTGCGTATCTACTTTGTTATTTTGCCCGATCACAGCCACGGGCTGAAGCCGATTTGCATAGAGATTTTATTTGCTGAAATTTACGCTTCAAAATTTAAAATGGCAAATAAAATGAATCCGATACTTTTATTCTGTTTTGAGTATAATATAAGATTTGATCATGTATTTTGAAGTCATGATGTTGACCTAGTTTGGGAGAAAATTACAAAAATCATTGACCTCTTGTCGGCCATTTTGAACCAATCAGACGACCCTGTTCACTCATATTGCTGACTATTTTTTCAACTTTGGCGGGAAATTTGAAATGGGATATTTGACCTTGAAATATGGGAACCAAGGTTATTTCCAGCCTAAAGAGAATATTTTGGGCTTTTTGGTACCATATTTTGCGTTTTACATTGCCACACTTACAAATCAATAGAATGTTGCAGTAGACGGCATAATTTGAATTTCCCAGATTCTATGTCTGCTTTTTTGAAAGTTTGAAAAGGTGACAACCCTCCCTTATTCGCTACTAAGAAGCAGAAAAATACAAATCTTGTAAAGGTAGCTTCCGCTGTATTATGGATTACCCCCTGAAAAAGTTCTGACAATCGACCCATTCCATTACCGCAACTAAATTGCCCCTCTAGATATTATACTTGCCCCTGCAAACAATTAAAAGAAAAAGCATGCCATTTTGCGGTGTTGATTTTTTTGTCTTGAATATATATGTAAAAAGTCTTCAGAACTACGGTATTACAATAATCACATAATTCCTTTAATAATACTTCAAACTAGGAATTTTACTCACTATTTCTATATATCACAGAGTATCTTAAAATGAGCTGTGGACACTATTACTGATTAGCTCAGCTAAAAAATTCCAGTTTCTGAGACTAAAGTATGATGGGTCAGAAAAAAAGTCCTACCTGTCCCTCCAACTAACAATTTATGATATGTATGTTGAAAGGTTGGAAACCTAAACCAGTAATTTTAGCTGTGTGTATATTTTTAGATGACTGGTTCATGTCCAAATTTATAAGAAAATGGAAGGGAATGGAGAAATAATTGAAACATTGGATGGTTCAATGTTTGCGAATCTAGCAGAAGGGGAGACAATCACATTAAGTTTAGAAGAAGCAAGTCAGTTATTATTGGATGGAGGACAGTTTGCTCCGGGTACTTATCAGATCGTAACCACTGGTACACCTAATATCAATCAGGTATATTTAAAGATGGGTTTCCTTATTTTTTAATTTCAAATTAAGAAAACTATTTGATAAATTGGTGTTTCAAATCTTAAAGAGTTACTCTGATCAAAGGAACAAGAAGCTTGTTTCATTAAAATTTAAATTGATTGTAGAGAGGATTTATAAAAATTTATGTGTATAGGGGACACTGATAGCATTGATTTACATCATTTAAATTTTGAAAAACCCTGCACCAGGCAACTTCAGAGGTGTGGAAAATCCCCATAAAATAGACCTAGTTTTTCTGTCGCCTGATTAAAATATACCCAAATATTGCCATATCGTGATATATGGTAGTTATGATGATATCGTTAAATTTTGGTCCAGATAAGATCATCTACACAATTTTAACAAGTAACTTAATATTTGATACAGATGTTTTTTTCATAATGTTAAAGACTGGGGTGTTTTTAGAGATATTTATTGTTTTATATTACATTTAAAATTTCTAGATCATCATTTTGTTAAAAAATATCGCAATATATATATCGTGATATATTAATGCTTAATATCGTGATATCAACTTGAACCAATATCACCCTACCATAGGCCTATTATTATCTTCATCCCGAATTTGATTTTTTCAATGAACACTAAAATTGATATAATATTACCCATACAGGAATTAGTACAGGTACCGTATGATATTCACCATGACAACTCGTCAGCCACGAATCAGTCGACCATGGTATCACTATTACCTAGTAATATACAACACTTGACACCAGGGGGTGATTTACAGACCAAAAATACACAGGTTAGTATTTCCCTCCCTCCCTCCCAAACCCCCACCCCTTAAAACTGCAAATATTTAAAGCTTGCATGATGAACGGTTTGAGAGTTATTGCCCTTGACTTAGTAAAAACGTGTCAAATTTGCCTTGTAGGCACGATAGAGACTACAGTTTTTATTTGATCTTGATGAAACTTGGTATGCATGTATTGCAAGTATATATTGATGAGATATCAGTTAAGTTTGAAATTGATAATAATGGGATGATTGGTTTCATAGTTATTGCCCTTGACTTAGTAAAAACTCGTCAAATTTCAATTGTAGGCATGATAAAGACTACAGTTTTTATCCAACCTAGATGAAACTAATTATGCATGTATATATTAATGAGATCTCGGTCAAGTTAGGAATGGTAATGATTGGATGAACAGTTTCAGAGTTATTGCCCTTGTGTGTACATCGATGAGACATTGTTCATGTTTGAATTTGATGATAACTTGATGAACTGTTTCCGTTTTTTCCTTGACTTATAGATGACTTTAAGATTATTTGAAAACTCATTATTAAGCCACTAAAGCTCTTGTAATGGTTTCTGACGGCTGGTAGTGGGGATATGTTACCTTGCCTGGCAAGCTATCTTTATGTGCTTTTACAGGATGTAGGACAGGAAGAAGATGAAGTTCCAATGGAAGGAGTTTCCGAAGATTTTATTCCTGATAATTCCCAAGGCGGGGAGAAAATGAACGTAAAATCTGAGGGTTTGGAAGCAAAATTTGAAAACCAGGCATTTGAATTAGAGCAGGATGCCAAAAAGGTTGAAATTTCAATAATTCAAGAGTCAGGGGATTCAAATTCACAATCTCAAACCGAAATTTCCGTCTTACAGTCTGCCGAGAATGGAAATCAAAATTTTGAAAATGTGAACTCTTCAAATTCTAATGAAAATCCAAATGCAAACGACACAGAAACCACACAAGATATTCCAAACGAAATTGAGCAAAGTTCAACACCCGATGAAAATTCCAAAGAATCAGAAAAATCAGCTGTGAAGGAAATCAAAATCAAGAAAGAGCCGAAACCAGATCTAGATTGTCCAATATCGGTCAGCGACAGAACAGAAGTAGTAATCAACGGCAAGAAATGTGTATTACTGGTCAATCCAGACACAAAAGAAATGTGTGCCTACCCCCTACTGCCCCCTGACGGTAAGACTTGATTTCATATTCAAATAATTGGAATATAATTGCGCAACCCTTCTTACTTCAGAAAAGTTGGAAAAATTCTGTAAATAGTACAGTAGAATAAAAATATCAGACAATATCTATTTCTCATTCAAACTCACAAACAGTCAATTTAATTTGGATTTTTAGACATAATATTATAGAGACAATTCAACAGCCTAGCAATAAGCTTTCGATTACAGGACATACGAGCTGATCTATCAAAAATGTCTGGCTAAATATAGCCAATTCTACAGCCCAGCGAGCTTGGGGATTCCCAGATATTTGATTAGCTCTGTCGGACATGTCTGGCTAAATATAGCCAATTCTACAGCCCAGCAAGCTTGGTGATTCCCTGACATTTGAATAGCCCTGTCGGACATGTCTGGCTAAATATAGACAATTCTACAGCCCAGCAAGCTTGGGGATTCCCAGATATTTGATAGCCCTGTCAGACATGTCTGGCTAAATATAGCCTATTCTACAGCCCAGCAAGCTTGGGGATTCCCAGATATTTGAGCAGCCCTGTTGGACATGTCTGGCTAAATATAGCCAATTCTACAGCCCAACAAGCTTGGGGATTCCCAGATATTTGAGCAGCCCTGTCGGACATGTCTGGCTAAATATAGCCTATTGTACAGCCCAGCAAGCTTGGTGAATCCCTGACATTTGAGTAGCTCTGTCGGACATGTCTGGCTAAATATAGACAATTCTACAGCCCAGCAAGCTTGGGGATTCCCAGATATTTGAGTAGCCCTGTCGGACATGTCTGGCTAAATATAGTCAATTCTACAGCCCATCAAGCTTGAGGATTCCCAGATATTTGAGTAGCCCTGTCGGACATGTCTGGCTAACTATAGTCAATTCTACAGCCCAGCAAGCTTGGGGATTCCCAGATATTTGATTAGCCCAGTCGGTCATGCTTAAAACTAGAAAGAAAATAGCCAATAAAAAAACCCTGCTACATCTAGAGTTTTATTTTTATCATTAGGTAAGCGTAGAAGAGGCCGACCGAAGAAGCCCCCGCGAACAGCAGAAGAGATTGAGATAGAGAAGGAAGAAAAGAAGAAGGCAGCCCAATCTCAGGAACAGGAGGGTGATCAAAACTCTAGTGCTGTTCAAGGTTTACTAGAACTCTCTAACTCTGGTGAGTAAATGAATCTCATCCTATTTAATGAGTAGTAAGGCAAGGCAGAGGGGGTGGGGGGGTATGGTGGGCCGGGGCGGGACTAGGGGTGGCTTAGCTTAACCACAAAAGTAGTTGAAAAAACTATCAAGTACAAAATAAAGGATAAGAATACTATTTCTAGGGATAATTTATCAGCTGGTCCATGGTTTACTAAACCTTGGCGTAATGATCTTTCAATTATCAATTTTTATTAAGTCACTTTTACAGCTGGATTGACTGATGAATCACTTACACAGATCATAAGACTTTTGGTACTACACAAAACAAGATTAGAACCTACGTTTAACTCTATTTGATACAATTACATTTCAGATCCTGACAGTCTCAGAAGAAGTGGAAGAGCTCGGAAAAAAACTAAAACTTTGGAAGGTAGGTTTTTTATATCTGAATACTCTCCTTTATTGAAATATTCTACAAGGTCATTAGTTAAACATTGATTAAAATAATTTATGACAATTTCTTCAAATTTTAATTCTTTCCTCGAACAATAAATAAAAAACAACAAGTTTAGATGAAAATATCAAATACAAAACTTGTGGGTGGGGGTTGCCCATAAGTGTCGGTTGCAAACAAGTTGTTTGAGACTTATCGATCGAATATGCTTAATCATTGTTATCTCCCTTGAAAGTTGAAGGACCAGACTATATCCTCATCGAAGGCCACCTCTGTTGTTGTTTATAACTCAGGTATCTCTGTGTAGATGTTTTGATATTGTCTATATATAGAATATGAGAATTTGGAACTGTCAGATGTGGAAGATATCGAGGATGCTGGAGCGATTGATGATGATGATGAAGATGAGGATGTTGTGTTGCCTGGATACAAGAGACGTAAAATAGACACCACTTTCCAGTCTCTTATACCCACTCCTACTAGTAAGTTTACAAGACTAAACTAATATTGGGAAAAATAAATAAATAATATTAAAAAGTTAACAAAAAAGGGACAAATCATGAAATGTAATCTTCAGGAATTAAAACAAGACCTGGCTTTAAACTGAAAATGATATTTTTCATATACCATAAATACATTTAATATTACAATTTTTGGTGTTTTTTTTGCATCAAATAGAGAAAATAAATGATGGCTGAAGCTTAAAATAACCCTTGTGGACGTTAGACTTGGTTTTCTAACTGACAATTGAAAGTATTTGGACAACATGTATTGAATGCAAAGATACATAAAAAAAAACTCTATTGATAATGTTTCTTTTCGATATATTTATTTTCAAAATGAATGATTCTATGTTTCCAGGTGAAAAACGACCACGTGGACGACCAAGACGTTATCCTCCAGCAGGTCAAGTAGCGACCTCTTCCTCAATCCCAGCAGTCCTCATTCCTTCCTCTAACGGTCAGACCTTAATGATGGCACCCCTTCAGGTAAATATTTTTCTTTGTTCCGATTTTCTAATTCTATTATTCTCTACTAGAGAGTCTCTAGTCAAACAGAGATATATTCACATCTAGGTTCAATTTTATTTTAATATTTTAGTATAATAGTATTTGAAACTGTATAGACAAGACTTGCATTCTGCTCAATACTATTAAAATATCAAGTTGAATTCTCATGTAAATGGTTGATTCTTACCCTGAAGTGCACGAATATTTTTGCTTGACTATACACTCCTGTACAGTACACTCTGTATTTTTGTTTTGGAGAAAGACATTTTACAGAACAGTGTTATTTTAAAAAAGGTTTGAATCCCAAGAACCTTGACAGCACCCCTCTTACTTACAGAAAATAAACCTCAGTTCTCAGAATCTAGTTTGTTGTGTTTCAGGGAGTTCAAAATTTACAAAGTTTACAGAGTCAAGTAAAATCTATTAATACTCAACTGTTGCCATCGATGATGACCACAGACACTAGTTTATCAGTAGACTCTACTGTCCAGTCTTTATTACCAGCAGATGGTTCACAGAGTAGCCAGGATCTACCAGACGGTCCAACCCCTGCTATAGATACTTCTTCTGGTAGGTATACTTCGCTGTTATATGGCTGCTGTAGAAATATATGTTTCACTGTATTTCCTTGTACCAAGTAACTGTTTCTAGATATACTGCACTGTTTCAAGGCTTTCTTGTTTTTTTCATCTCCATCACCATCACCAAATTTATAGTTTGTCTGTTGCTGTATATTTGAAGTGATTATGTATTTTTAGTGCCATTCTATTACTTCTTTAGACTATTTACATAAAATCAAGACTCAAAACACCCCCGTAAATGCCTATCGATGCCCTTAAATTGATGTTAAGAACTTTGTTTTATTTTACAGTATCTGTAATAGAAGGTACTATGTTAAACAATCTAGAAGCTGACAGTTTGAATTTAAATACATCTGATTCAGCTCTGACCTTAGAAGGTGGGTTATATATTATATTCTAGGGATAATAAAGAGGTCAAAGGTTCTTCAAGATTGTGACCTCATAAATTTTTTCTACTCTGAAATTATTGCAATCGCAAGAACAGGGTTTAATTAAGATTGAAAAGTTTCATTAGCAATTTATCACACCTAATTTTATTTTGGGCTAATCAAGTTAAATTTTGTTTCGTATTTCGTAGAAATTCTGTAGCAATTGAAATGTTCTTGTAGTAAACATATTTCTATAATTGACCAAATATTTGCATGAAAAATTATAAACAATTAGTTTTGATTCACTGATCATCATGATAAATTTTAATTTTTGTTAATCATAGGAAATATTAATTGGGGCCATTTTGAATCACAAACTGAGATGCAATACTGCAGAATTGAACCCTGTGCAAGAATCACAGATGTCTGACTGAAGATTAGAATGATGCTTAAAGAAGCCATTCACAACACCAATTCTCTGTGACCTAGGCCAGTGCTTTCAGTGAGACACGTCACGATACACCCTTACACCAATTCTCTGTGACCTAGGCCAGTGATTTCATTGAGACTCTTGTCAATACACCCTAACACCAATACACATTGAAAGAGCTAGACAAGAAGTTTGATTTGTTTTCGTGTAATTTCAGGTGAAGAAGCTGAAGAGAGTGATGAGAAACCAACCATTATACAAATTCCTGAAAATCTGCTTCCTATGTTTGTCCCTAAAAAAGATCCAGTCAGAATCGGTAAGTGTTTTGGGGGATGGATTGTAGCTCACACTATTAGAGTGTTAGAATCTTGATGCGTTTAGGTTGAACCTGAGGCTCGTAGGTTCTAATGCTGTATTTGTTACCTCTGGGAAATATGGGACATACGACTTAAGAGATGGTATATAGCATTCGTTACTTCAAATTTTGCTGGGAAGTCATGTTTTCTATTGAAGAACTCGGGTAGCTAAAATTATTCCGAGTTCACGACATATGACGTCATATAAATCAACCAATCAGAATTATATAATGGACACATGTGATATAATTATTATGCAAATAAAGTATATTTCTCTCTAGAGAGCATTCGTCTGTACTAATATTTCAAATGTGTCCCGTACAGAATCAAGTTGTCTGTGATTTGGGAAATTAGACGTCTGCATGATATTGTTACCTCCCTTGAACTGTATTGCTTCTGTATCACAAACATACAACTTACATCATGTAATAATACTTCAGTAGTATATTCAACTTGTCAAACTGCTTAATTAACAATTAGTACCCTCTGTTTTTTACTTAACCCTTTTAAAACAAATTCATTTTGATCAAGAATATACACAGATATAAATAGCATACTATTTTCAGGTGTAATTTACAACCTTTTGATAATGAAAACTTTTAACAAAAAAGCGAAATACCCCTTTAAATGCACCACTGCCAGTACCGTCTCTTCAAAGAGAACGTGATGACTCGTGCTTGGTATTTCTATGGAATGTGAAGTATGTAATATATGAATATTTACAGGAGGGCATTATGTAATGATATTGACCAGCTGGTATGATTATTTGACTATAATGATATCATATAATAACTACCAAATATCCCTGGTATTTTAATAACCATCAGTTAGTTAGTCATTGACCTGGGTAATCATATCTTTATAGACTAGGTCAATAGGTTGTATTTTAGTCATTGATTATTCTACTAAATGTCAGAGGTCAAATGATGAAAGAGAAAAAAAAAGATCTGTCAGTGTTAATACTTTATTTTCATTAATTGAATTTGAGTCATGCTGTGAGCCATGACTGAGGTTTTGCTTTACTGTTATGTGGAAGCTCAAATTAAGTTTTCGTCCCACTTAAAAGTCTGAACCTTTTGTATGTTCATTGGTTACACTTATAGCTTCCATTTGCACCTTCTGATAGCTGATTTGTTTACCAGTTACTTGGAAAACTTTGAAAAACCAAATATGATGCAACTATTGCACAAACCCTATTAGGCTCAAATGCAGACATCAAAATCTAAAATATTTCTTACTTGCCGGAAGTTTTTACAATCTCTGATATTATACTACTTGATATAAGGGAAATTTTTATGCTCTACTTTGAACCAGAAACAGGAAATAAGCTATAATTAGAATACATTCCAGACTAGTGAAAGCGTGGGAGTTGACTATCGGAGGTCATTAGGTCAAATAGATATAAATAGTATCAAGGGTATTTCAGTATACAATGTCAAGCTATTACAAACTTCATCTTCACAATGTCAAGCTATTACACACTTCATCTTCACAATGTCAAGCTATTACAAACTTCATCTACACAATGTCAAGCTATTACAAACTTCATCTTCACAATGTCAAGCTATTACACACTTCATCTTCACAATGTCAAGCTATTACAAACTTCATCTACACAATGTCAAGCTATTACAAACTTCATCTCTACAATGTCAAGCTATTACAAACTTCATCTTCACAATATCAAGCTATTACAAACTTCATCTTCACAATGTCAAGCTATTACAAACTTCGTTTTCACAATGTCAAGCTATTACAAACTTCATCTTCACAATGTCAAGCTATTACTAACTTCATCTTCACAATGTCAAGCTATTACTAACTTCATCTTCACAATGTCAAGCTATTACAAACTTCATCTTCACAATGTCAAGCTATTACAAACTTCATCTTCACATAGTCAAGCTATTACCAACTTTATCTTCACAATGTCAAGCTATTACAAACTTCATCTTCACAATGTCAAGCTATTACCAACTTTATCTTCACAATGTCAAGCTATTACCAACTTCATCTTCACAATGTCAAGCTGTTACAAACTTCATCTTTACAATGTCAAGCTATTACCAACTTTATCTTCACAATGTCAAGCTATTACAAACTTCATCTTCACAATGTCAAGCTATTACAAACTTCGTTTTCACAATGTCAAGCTATTACCAACTTTATCTTCACAATGTCAAGCTATTACCAACTTCATCTTCACAATGTCAAGCTGTTACAAACTTCATCTTCATAATGTCAAGCTATTACCAACTTTATCTTCACAATGTCAATCTATTACGAACTTCATCTTTACAATGTCAATCTATTATAAACTTCATCTTCACAATATCAAGCTATTACAAACTTCATCTTTACAATGTCAAGCTGTTACAAACTTCATCTTCACAATGTCAAGCTATTACCAACTTTATCTTCACAATGTCAAGCTATTACCAACTTTATCTTCACAATGTCAATCTATTACGAACTTCATCTTCACAATGTCAATCTATTATAAACTTCATCTTCGCTTCAATCTTCAATTATTTAAATTTTTCAGGGATGAGGGTGAGGGGGGCTACAGTCTTGGGTAACAGCCCTTTTACCTGCTGATATCGTATTATATCACGATTTTATACCGCTAGTGTTGAAAGGGTTAAGGGTATTTTTATAAAAAGTATATGTTCTGTATTTTCAGGGTTAAAGGCGTCAGAAAGTGAACTTGAGAAATTAAAATGTCTGAAATGTGATTTCCAAGGTTACTACACTCAACAATATCAGGATCATATCTCAACCAATCATAGCGACGACATCTCCAAATGTAAATGTTGTAATTTTTATACTTTCGATCGCGAGGAATTACTTGAACACTTTAAGGTAAGTGGAGATTTTATCTTCCAATAATTTTAAGACTGGAAGCCTTAGATTTTTTTTTGGATCGTGAACAATTATGAAAACACTGTAAGGAGAGTGGATCTTCAGATAATTTAAAGGCTGAAGGTTTATCAAAACGTCTTAATATTTGTGAAACAATAGTTCTTGTGAAAGAAATAGTTCTTGTTCAGGGACCTGGGCCTGTGCTTTTTAGAATCCTATTTTCATTTCACAAAGGATATTTTGGGTGATTGACCTCCATTGTTCGCATTCTAGACTAAATGACCTTTAAAAACAGGAGAAAATATTTACGATTCCATAAATAAACAATAAATGATAATCACACAACCCCTTGACCTTTCATTAAGGAGGAAATCATCGACAAGGAATTTCTGACATTATCGCGAAGGTCGAGAAGGTAACAATTTCGACGAATAATTAATGAGTATATAATGATTATGTCCAGTTATATGAATATTAATATCGTTACACTAGTATATGACAGGAATCCGTCTAGACTTCACACTTCACAGCTCAATTTTGTTTCATTTTACACCCTCTAGTTTGGCTGACAGGACAAAATTCTGCCTAAAGTTTGCACTTAATTTCAAAGATTATTTGTTCTGTAAAAGTAATTTCCAGTATATTTTTTGCATTGGGTTGGCTGATAACGAACTTAATCACTCTCTGTAGCATCTTGAATATAAAGAAAGCTGTGATTTATAGATTTGTAAATGTTCATTGTTTTTCCTATATAAATAGTTTCTCTTTACACACTCTAGTTTGGCTGACAGGACGTGGCAAGATTCTGTCCAGACTTCACACATCAAATAAAAATGGTTTATTTCTTCAATCCCTCAAGTTTGGCTTATTGTCTTTTTTGTACTGTTTAATATAATTCTTTACACCCTCCAGATTGGCTTTTTTTACTTTTTACTACAACCTTAAGTTATACTTTGTCTACCCAGATTTTGTAATTGTTCATTATTTTTCAGGAGATGCATCCTAAATGTATTTGTACAGTCTGTGAGTTTATGGCCGAACATTCGTACGTAATCAAACGTCACATGGTACGACATAATAAATTCAGCTGTATGTGTAATGTCTGTGGTAAGGCTTACAAGGTAGGTGAATAAATTACTCTATACTATAGAGTCAAATCAACAGCCCTGCACTATAATCAAAAGATCGTGGAAAATCCTGTGATAGATTTATCTCAATTTCTTCTATGTACTTGACAAGATCTCATCTCACATTACAGATATAACGACCATTCTTTGACCAATCATACTTCAGAAACGGGAATTTTCCTAGCTAAGCTAATCAGTAATAGTGTTCACAGCTCACTGTTAAAATTTGAGCCTTCAAATCAATGTGTCCAGAATTATCAGTTAAATGTTAAAAGATGACTTGTCAATTTAAGATACTCTGTGATATATAAAAAAGACATATATAGAAATAGTCAGTAAAATTCCTAGTTTGAAGTATTTTTAAAGGAATTGTGTTATTTTCGTACATTTCTAGTACTTCTGAAGACTATTTACATATATTACATATTACATATATGGCGTACCTGTCCCTTTAATGCCTATCTTACAACATGATCTTAGTGTATAGAAACCTACACAATTACTCCTTTTTTCAGTCAAAAGATCACTGCCCAGGATTTATTTCAAAATATTATTGTGACTACAAATCAAATATGACCCGAAAAAATTAAGAAAGTTTCTCATTTCACCAACTGCGTGCTGATGTGGTCTTACATACATACATGTGTACAGGTCAGGACAAAAAATCTGGAGATTTGACTTGAAAAATCTGGTAAATTACTTGGACTTAATCCACTATCTTTATTTTTTTGATTTCTATTTCAGGATCAGTATATTTTAAAGATGCATGTAAAAATGGTTCACATGCCCGCCGAGGTTTTATTTGAATGTAATATCTGTTATAAGAAGTTTACACGGAAAGCTCATCTGAAACGTCATCTCCGAATACACGACCCTGAAAAACCTTTTAAATGTCCACATTGTGAATACAGGTTGGTTTTGTTATTTCTTAACGCAGTTTAGAATTAAGAACTCTGGACAGGTATTATCGAACCGATCTTAGCGCTAGGATGTTCTAGAATCAATGTTAGAAAAAGATAAGAACCTAGGACATCCTAGCGCTAAGATCGTTTCGAGAATATGTGGCCTGATTTTAATGATGTAAAATATAATTAGTTTCAAGTTACTAGGACTTCAGAACAGTGGCTGCGCCAGTGGGGGTTCATTTGCCCCCCTTGAAAAGTGGTTTGCACCCCCATTGTACCCCCACTTTATTTTCAACAAATCTAAATGTCTGTCATTTTTCTCCAAAATATGTGTCAGAATGCACAAAAGACGTCAAGGTGACGATATACTGCAGTGACACCACATTACCTTCGTTTGCTTTCTTGCATTATGAGCCTCGTTCTGGATTCAATATGGCTGACAGGTGAATAACGTCTATGGCCTTTACAATAAGAAGTATCCAATAATAGTACATAACTGTTTAATAAAAACAATGATTCTATATTATAGAGGGTGTGAGAGGTCTGATATCTCTAAACATCTACTAATACACGAAGAACCCAAACATGTCTGTGGTATTTGTAACAAAGCTTTCCGACATCTTAAAAATAAAGATTTACACGTAAAAAGGTAAGTAGTTATAGATGGAACTAGATCACTATATGGGTCATATCCATTCGTCAGATGTTTACTATAACTGGAGTCCAGTGGTATCGGTACATGGAATAACCGTGGCCCAGTGTTACAGGCTGTACACATTTAGGATAACTAGACTGGCCTTGACAGTTGGAAAATAAAAAAGTAGATCTACCTTCGCCCAGAGTTCAAACCTAGTATAGGTTCGAGATAACACATGACATGGAAAAATTTCCTTTCGTATGAGACAAAAAACAGAGGCTGTTTGCTACACACTGTTCAAATTTACAATCTCTTGACAAAAATCCCTTGGAAAATTGATAAAGTAGGGCTATGTCATTGTCCAGGCAGATTTTTCCTCATTGCACACTGCATGACATTGCAGTCTTTATATGCCTAATCAGGTGAAGACAAGCAGGACGTGAAATACCATTCTTTAGTATAAAATATTTAATATTCCATTTCATTTCTTTTTGCTTCCAGACATAACGGTCAGAAAGATTATAAATGTGGTGTTTGTGGTTTCTATGGTTACACGTTTACTGATATAAGGAAACATATTGAGCGTAAACATGGTGATATGAAGAGTCTAGTCTGTGATAAATGTGGAATGGCGTTTAAAGCTGAAATCTTGCTCAGGGTAAGTAACTGTCTTGGTCTTTTAATAAGTTTACTGGTTATTTGAATGTGAAGGGGGAAGCTTCAAAATAATACTGGGATAGATTAAAAAAAATATTTAAAGCTGAAATCTTGCTCAGAGTAAAGCTCATGTTATACTGCAGAAACATGTTACAACGTCAGAATACCTAACTTGGATAATGTTAAATTTTTCTTCACTCATTAAATTTCTATCTCCAGGAACATCAGAGAGTTGGATGTGAAGGTGTGATAGAACAGGCGTTATCAATTTCTACATCAGACGGCGGTACGAGTCAAGCCATGATTCAAATCCCCTCTACATTGTCTGTGGACGGACAGAGTATTATGATAGATGGGCAGGAAATATCAGTGGATGAGGATGGTGCTGTTAATATCACTTTCGAACAAGTTCTTGATGGTAAGTTAAATTTAGAAATTTTGTTGAACTTCTTTGTTTAATTGACTACAGTTTATCACATATTTAGGATATACAATCCTCATCAGGACAACCAGTTTTAGAAATGGATGTTAATTTTCCAATATAGGACTTAATGTTACTAACTGACTAGAGCTCATCTCATGCTGTTGATACATGTTTTGGATATATTATCCTCATCAGGACAGCTAGTTTTGGAATGTCCTCTTTCTAGGAGTGGGTGGAGGGTGGACCCTGATTATATGTCCATGAACAAACTAACAATATTCATAGATGAAAAAGCACATTTAGCTGTTGTCTGGATTATAAATGTAGTTACTTCCCTTGGACTATGAGATCTAATACTTCCACTCCTATTCCTTGTTAGTTAAGTTTTAGAATTTTTGACAAAACTCTGAAGCAATTAACTTGTCTTCTGATCTTTAACTAAGTTACCTCCCTTAGACTGCAAATATTTTGCCCTAATTATCATTGGAAAACAGAAGCAATAATCATGTATGAGATCCGAATGTTATTTACTTGTGGTCTAGATTTTTAACATAGTTACTTCCCTTAGACCGGAAATATACTTTTCGCTTTATCATTTCACTTTTAAGGTTTAAGCTGGTGTCCGAGGCATTATGTTGACTTACTGACAATAATGATGATTAAATCTTGTTGCCCATATCATAAAATATCCTATAAAACATACCAAGGACTATGATATATCTCAATGTAAATTATCACACTTACGATAGAGTTTAATTGGAAGAATTTTTAAGAATTGGGTAAAAAGCTACTGGACAAATTCAAACATTATATTTAAAAAGAAAAATTGTCATTTCAGGTGAAGATGAGGACATTCATTTATTAGAAAACCAAATAGCTGCAGGTTCAGGTCAAATATCAGAAGGTGAAGGTCAAATATCTGTAGGTCAAGGCCAAATATCAGGCCAAGGACCAATTTTAGTTGATCAAGGTCAAATAGCTGTGAGTGAAAATCATATCTCGGTGCCAAACGGACGATTTGTATCTATAGCAGACGTTGCTTCCTCAGGTCAAGGTCATAATATTGTGATTCAAGGTGAAGAGGTCAACGAAGGTCAGGATATTAAATTAGACCTGGATAACCAGACCACTGTCGATGAACTCATGGGTAATTCCTGACAGACATAGAAATAGAAACATTGTCCAGTGACGGTTGAGTAGAATGATTACCCAGTGCTAATTACGGTAGAAATGTTGTCAAGGCCTTGTTCATTGAAGAAGATATTTCATCCTGACTCATTAGATATATTATCCAGTCCTCAGTTCTCCTGTGAAGTAACTTATAAAAAGATTGTCCATTGTCTAATGTGGTGATTAACGAAGAGGAAGAGGGGGATGGGGGGTTAGAATACATAATTTTAAAAAAGGCACTCATCGCTTCAAAAATTGGTCTTTCGCCTCATTACCTCCATTACACTACGGCCTTGTTATACAAACAGTGTAGACACAGTAATAGTTGGGTTTTAACTATTAGAGGGATCTAAACATCATTCATTCATTCATTCATTCTTGTAGAATTTATATTTTGAAAATAGAATGGTAATTTATAATGTAACTTGTTATTAAATTGTTGATCTTTTCAGTTCTGTGTTTTTATTTATCAATCCGACTTATAATGGATAATACATCTAGTAGTTTAGAGGGGAGAATTTACCGGGGCCCCGTGTGCTACAGGCTGTAACCCGAAAACAGGTGGGAATTGTAAAAGAAAATCAGTGTTAAAGTGAAATAATAATCAGTCTCGAGTGTATTGAAAATATCTTTGATTCTACGTTGTCTGGAGGGAACAATTCACCGGGGCCACGTGTGCTACAGGCTGTACCCCAAAAATAAACTTTGGTAAAGAAAATTGTAAAATCAGTATTAAAGTGAAATTGTAAATGATCAGTTTCCAGTGTATTGAAAATATAATTGATTTCATGTCGACATTTACCTCCCTTGGCCTACCCCTAAAGAAAGTCCACTTTTATATTTGGAGAATTCACGTAGCCATTAAAGTTTATTTTGGTATTTTAGACTATTGTAAAAACAATATTTATTTTGGAGTATCAGATCTACATCTGCACCCTTAACACGGTCTCAATTTCCCGTCTTCAATTGTCCAGCAGAAGTCAAACGATGGTCACTCACCCGATTTCAATATAGAGTTATTGTTCTTGAGTTGACAGGCTCGTGCAACTAACAGACGACAATGAATGTAAGTGTTGAGGAATGTTGATCAAGGTGGACAGAAGTCTACTGCCGATTCTAAGCATCTGATGGAATCTCCAGCAGTCGACATCAGCGAAGCGCCCATATTTAGAAATTTACTGACAACTAGCAACTACCTAACTACAGATTAACTACCTGGTCACAGATTCATAATGCTCAGTTCGACGACCAGATCCAATTTTAGCTGGAATGCAGCAGAAGCAATTGGCACAAAGTCTGTGTTTTTATACGCCCACGTTATAATGTGTAGGCCTACGTAGGCCTATATTGCCTTCGTCCTTGTCCGTAGGTCCGTCTACAATTGGCTTGTGAACACAATAGAGGCTACAGTTTTCATCTGATTTGAATGGAATTTGGAGAGGGGAGACTATCGAGACTAGTCTTCATCAGATTCAAATGAAATTTAATGTGATCATTTATCTTGATGAGATCATGGTTAAGTTCGAATTCGACGATTACACGATGGAGCTGTAGAATAACTTTTGAAGAACATTCTGTGTCTAATTTTGACACCAATATTCGAATGATGAAATTGTTTAGAGGACGCGGTCGAAAAAAAAAAATACGAATTAAATGAAAGGCATTTTTTCTGGTCTCGTCAAATAAAATATTCAAGCTCTTTCGGGCTCACATGTCTTTTGTCTTTCTTTTAGAAAAAAAATCGGTCAAACTATCAAAATTGTTAAGAAAACTGTATATTTTCAGCCTCAATGTTGGTGGTCAGTAAAAACAGACCCGTGTGGAAAATAGACTGGTCCATTATTAGATTATTGACAGACGTCAAACTGGACCATCCTGTGTACTGGCCTTGACCCTCACACCTTAAACATTCCTCGTGTCCACTCATCGTCTGCTATAAACACAACTTATCAATGAAATCAGTGTAAACAAAGTAGTGGTCACTGCAACGTTCTCATTGGTCAGGTCCGGACTGGACTGGTCAGTATAATGTTCTGATTGGTTGATATTTATGACGTTATATTCTGATTGGTTGTCATGAATAAAAGCGCGTGTCAGGACGTGATTTGATTGGCCAGTGTATTTATGAATGAAAGAAGAAGAATTTGATGGCTGTGGGAAGAGAAACGAGATGAAAGGTTGGTCAATGTTTATGACAGACCAGGAGACTGTTTTTAAAGTTTATCTTTCCTCTTCATTAGCTTTCTCATCATGTAAATAAAAACGTTTTAGTCGTCCACTTGGTCAAGATAAGAATCGCCATCTTGTTTTTATTTGGTTCATTGAAAAGAAAACGAAGTTAGAAAATGTTTCTGGGAGTGCATCTCAACTAAAACATCATCGCCATTTGTAAATGTCTATCAAACAGTAATTCAAGACATTTTGTTCAGTTTTCACTTGCTTCTATTTCTGGATCACTAACAATACAATTCATTTTTTAAACAAAATATTTTCCATGGCATGTTATTGCTCGTCACAACTGAACTGTTATTAGTAAAGTTTCAAATGCCCATATTTCTGTCTCACTTACTAGATACAGTTGTTTTAGTTGACCTTTTATTAGCCATCATTGTTGATCCCTATATTCTATTTTCACTTCTTTATATTTAAATATTTGGGTCATTTACAATCGGGTTGTTTTTTTCAAACATAATATTTTTCGTTGACTTTGTACCTGGACATTTACCGAAACGAAATATGTAGACCTAGAGCTATTCCTAAAGCAAAAATAAACTTCTGACAGACTACCCCTTTAACAGACACTGACAGTTACTTCACCTGTGGTCAATAAACTTATTCAAAGTTCTACTGCTTCTTTCCGTTGCCTTTCACTACCTAAAGTCCATTTAAGCCCGACTTGCTCTAATATCTCAAAAAATGAAATGGATGGAGCTTTACGTCCTACTTTTAATATCTCAAAGAGATTGTAAAGAGATTTTCTAATTTTGTGTGTGATAGCATCAGTTTCCGCCATTCCAAATTTCAATCAAACGTCTGTGGTTCCTGCAATTCCACTATTCTCGAAGTCCTTAAGTGATAAGTATATTTTGCGATTAGTGACCTCATCAAACACGTAGTTTAAGCAGGAACCACTGACGCCTGATTGAAAATAGGAATAATGCAAATTGATCCTCGATACACACATAAAATTTAGATAACCTCTTTATAATCCCTTTAACTTGCATGATATAAGAATTTGAAAATTTAGATTTATATATGATACAACCAGGTGGCTTATCTTTTGCCTTTATTCAAATCAGATTAACAAAATCCCAAGTGTGTGTATTCTGATCGAAACTGTCATTTAACTGAGTCCACAATCTCGCGATATTCGGAAGGTGTCGATTTCATCCGCGTCTCAATTTTCAAATAATCTGAAATTATTGACGTCTAGGGTTTCTCTAAATCTTGGTGAAGTTAATTCGGCCATGTTTGGTGAGTTAATCTCGCGCTAAAGGGCGTGATGAAGTGACCGGTGTGACGTCTCAGTGACAACATTGTGTTATTTTGTGATACTTTGTGTCCAATGGGACAACTGACCACTCGGACAATGTAAAATCACAAAACATCGACTTAACCCAATTTTTGAAAAACTTATGTAATCGAACACGCGGTATCCCTTTAATGGATAATAATTCGGTGGGAACTGAATTTCTAATTTTTCGTTCGACTTACCCACAACAAGTGCCAACATAAATCAACGTTTCGCATCCTTTTCCTGTCAAATCTTCCTTTCGGAACGATGAGCCAGATTTTCATTATAAAAGGTGATATGGAAAGCTGCAATTGAGTTCTATCCATCCCATCTTTTTTAAGGGGGAGGGGCATTCAAATGAACGATTTCGTCTCTAAAGAAAGACTACTTTGGTATTCAATTTCTGATCAAAACCCTCTGACAAATTTCCTGAGACTCTATCATTAGGGTTGATTTACTAACCACAGGCAAACCCAGAAGAACTCTTTTAAATTTATGGGAATTCGGGTAAAACAAGAATGTTCTTTGATGTTTCTAGAAGGAATAAATTTCACTTCACAAGAAAAGAGGGTTGTTAGGTGATTTATGGTAAGGTCAGTGACCCCTACCCCTAGCAACCAGATACATTTAAATCTTCTGCTTCAATAAAATTAATTTAATTTTCAATGATTGAAATTAATTCGATATGCCACGTGAATAATTGATGACGTACAAGTCAATGTTTATATAGTCCGCTCGTGATCGCCTTCTAATTAAAATGGCGACTAATTATTTCAAATTCTTTCAAATCAAAAGTCACCCATGGCGTTAAGGAAATTCGAGATATTCTACTTTCAAAAGCTCCTTTTGTCCCATGGGTGTTCTTGTGTGTGTAATTTTTTACTCCACTTCCTGAATGATTACGCGCCGTCTGCTGTTCTGAATGACGAAATCAATGACGTAGAAATTTTAAAGACGTCATTATTATTTTCTCATATCAGTTGTGTCACCATGACATTACGAGCGACAATGAAATGATGAAAACGTTGCTTGACTTTTGGCATTTCTTGTTAAATCCACCTTCTTCAATGTCTCTCTTCAATGAACTTTGACCTGGAGCAATTGACCAAATGTCACCTGATTTCGTAATGGGAATCAAATCACGTTAAATCTAGAATTACTTCACGTGGAAAGGTTAATGTCCCGTATTTGATGGGTTATTTTTGGGGGTTTGAATGCTGGGCAGGGGTCGTGGACGTGAAATTGTAAAGAATGAGTGCGGACGAACTGAAAGGTGCGCAATACTGTTTTCCGTGCAAGTTGTTCTGAAATTCTTAAAATGGAGTCTAAAGCCACAGGATCTTGTTTTTAAAGCCTTACAAACGTCTTGGTGGTGTTTCTCTAGTATTGACACCTCACGGCTTTTCTGGTCTGAATCGGTTCAAGAGAGATGACACAAGTTGAAAAGAGCCGGTTTAAATTTTATCAAGAAAACTTAATTCGTCTGATAAATATTCAGAATCAACACGACTCGTGCCATGTGAACTCTCCAAATACGCCAACAATCACACTTCAGTCAAGTTTCCATGACTTTATTGACGTAAACTTTTTAAATCCCAAATGACAATATTTGGCGGGAAATCTTGTCAAATATAACCTCGTGAAGTAATCAAAAGACAATTCTCAAGAATTTAGCGGGAAGTAGCAGAAGTTGTTTTGATATTAGAACAAGATCACGTGAGTTTATGTGGACTTTAACTTCTCATTTTCTTCTGTCCTCTTGGTGTTGACCTTTAGGGTCAGAGGTTGCGCTCAGGGGTTACCTAAATTGACAAGAAGTGCCTTTGAAGGATGGACAGACGTGTGGGCAGTGAACGAAAAATTGAGCCAGGCCACGAATAACAACCGTTATTTGAATACATAACAGACGAAATTGTGTCTAAAACAAATTTGAGTAA